GGGTAGGTGTGGTCTGAAAGTGCTAAGTGACTTGTAGCGAAGGCATTATTAATTGTGTAAGTTTTCTCTGGATGTGCGATGGGTGAGATTTTGAAACTTACGGAAGAACCTTGAATAGTTTCAACTTCTTGACGGACCGTTCTAAGTGATAATCTCTCTGCTTCCCCAGTTAGGTTGAGATGCTGTGCAGCTGATGTTAGAAGAATGGTACGCTGGGAGCCATCATCAAGTACTGCATATGTTTCAAGAGTTCTTTTGCCATTTCGCAGGAGCACTTTCACAACCTTTAAAAGGACACTGGGACAATCACTAGGTCTATCAAAGTGTAGTGTCCTCACTACAGGATTAGTTTCAGTTTTAAGTCTCTGATTCACCTCACATAGGATCTGTAGATGTCTTTCCATACAGGTGGCACATGCTTTCCTCAGATCACACTTCGCAGCCTGATGAGTCCTAGCACAACGCCAACACCGTTTGTTTCCCTTTATCCAGTTTATTTTCTCATCCTTTGTCTTGTTAATGAACTCAGGGCACTTGCTAATGTGGTGTTCAGGTGAGCAGCAATATGCACATCTTGCCTTAGTCATTATGATGGGTTGTGCCGCCTGTACAGGATCGGATGCATTTGTCCCATGTAATATTGTTGTGAGTGGAGAGGTGTACTTATGGGCAGGTCGTGGCTGGTTAAAGGATGAAACAGGACTGTCCTTTCTTGGTTGACACTTGCATTCCATTTGCAACCAGGATGAGAACAAAGGTAAGTCATACGTCATATCTCCTTGTTCCCTGTAAATGTGCCGTTTGAAGCGACTGGAATGCTCTGCGGGCAACTTTTCAAGTAGGCGATCGACATGGGAGCCACAATTTAGTTCTGTCCGTCCTTGATCACCCATAGTGCTAAGCAAACCAACTAAAGCTTGTACATGAAGAGCAAAATTATCCAGAGTCCGACCATCACCTGCTCTGATAGGAGGAAGCTCCAGTATATTCCGTAGCTCTTTCAATGCTAGCTGTCTTGGTTGCCCATAACGCTCATCAAGAGCTTTGATGGCTTGAGTGTATGGGTCAGGAGCATAGGAAAAGGAAATAGCTAACCGTTTAGCTTGGTCTACTTTCAGATGATCGAGGAGGACATGATATTTGAAATGCTCTGTGTCATGAGGGTCAAGCAGGTTAGTAAGGGCCATTCGTAACAGCCTATACTGGATTTCATCTTCTCTGGTAAGGTCTGGGAAAGAAGGACCCTCAAGCTTATACACATGTGTTCTAGTGCTAACAGGGTGACTAGAACTAGCAGTAATGGGTACTGAAGGGTTTTGTGCATGCAAACCATCAGATGTAGCTGGTTGCTGCTTTACAGGAGGGTGCTGCCTTGGTTCCGCAATGCAGACGAGAGGTTGAGCGGGGTCTTCATCTAGAGGAACAGCAGGTTGAACACATGAAATCTGGTGGGGACCTTGCAGTGGTGTGGCCAGGAAATTAAAAGGAGTCTCATCTGGTGTAGGAAAAACTGGTCTAGGCAAACCACTTGAAGGAACTGCAGCATCTAATATTGTTGAATTAGGGAAAGGAGGGCTAGCAGCCAGAACTGCACCAGAGTGACGGCTAACTGCTCATGCTGCTGATGTGTTTGGGGAATGGCTTGTAAACCGCAAACAGAAGATTTGCTTTCATCAGAGACAGTGTGAATTGAAGATCTGGAGGAACTGCGAGAATGGGGAGGAGATAACTGAATCATGAATTGCCTAATCTCCCTCATTGTCATCAGGAGTTCCCTCATCACCTCATCTTGATTGGTGGGTAAAGGAGCAGGGGATGTCTCTGGTTGTCTTTCTGACTCTCCGACAGGATCTTGCAGCCCATGTGTGTCTTTGTCACTGTGCTGGCATTCTGTTTGACTCTCTGTATCACATCGAGCACTTCTACTTCCAGGATACTGAACGTCATACTGCTGCAGGTGGGCAGGAGGTCGACTATCACGACCGGAACGTCTCAAATCTTCAGTCAATGGCTGCTGTGAATCCATGACGCTAACGCTACTCCGGCTCGGAGGACCATGTTTTGGAGGAAGGAAGTGTTCAGGGTTTCAGTAGTCATCATCATGGGCTCATCGGATTAGAATGAGAATAAGCAGTCATCATTTGCAGGTTTTGTCGTTTTATTGTATAACAGGTAAAGGAAAGAAAGACACACATGGACTGCCAATGCTGAAAGAAAACAGAGATTCAAGTTACTCATTACCTTAACATTACATAAAATAAAAACCCAAACAGAACCTCACCTCAGCTGCCGCCCCGTGTGGAAGTGAGGAAAGAGTGAGCCAAAAGTGAATGCAGTCCTTATGTACTGTGTGACATATAATGTGTGACAGGTGAGTGCAATCAAGGACAAGCACCACACCCAATCAAAGGTGAGAGAACGTAAACAAGGTGCATCTGGTGAAGTGAATGTGCTGAAAGGTGAGCCTTTACAACATCTAGTATATGATATCGTCTCAAAAATCCTGCTTGAGTTTAAACCCACTCCACAGGTGTTTCCAGAGGAGAGTGCTGACGTGTCAGGAGAGAGAAAGTTAAAATGTAACCGTTAACACTGATAATGTTTGGTGAAGCTTTACAATGAGAAATGCAATGTGGCCATCAATCAATAATGCCAAACAAGAATCTACAGAAGAAAGCTTGATGGACGTTGAAGTGTTGCTTTTTCGACTCCTCTCAAGAATACATTTTGAACCTACTGCTCTCTGGCAGGTAGCTCCATGGTTTTAAATGCACCTTAGAACACACATGCATCAACACTACATATGAATGGGCGGAGGGAGGTTTGGAGTCTTTACACCCCCGTTCTCTGTTGCCCGTCGGGGCGGGGGTGCTGGGAGGAGGAGTTGGCTGTCCGATTGGGGTCTGGAATGTGGGGCCTCCCTGCTACTGTGGAGTCGGGGGCAGTCTGCTTCTCTCCACCCCAGGGAAAAGGGTAACACCTCCTGGTTCTGGGTGCAGTTTACCCCTCTAGCGGTAAGGGTACCTAGATCTGGGGTGCAGAGTAAGTTTGGGGAGTGTGATTGTGTGTACAGTGTCTCTCTATGTCTGTCTCTAGGTTGGGTGAGTGCTGAATATTTGCATATGTGTGCATGGGGGTCGGAATGGATGTTCGTATCTGTGTGTGCCTGTTTGTCTGTGTCTATATGCCAGGTCCGGTATTAGACGCCACCTCTCTAGGGACATCTCAGGCCCTCCAAGGTATGGATGCTATCTCCGCCCACCACTCCCAATGCTGGTGCCCTCAGACATCGGTGCATTGGTGGTTCTTGGTGTTCGGGGCTGGGCATTCAGGTACGCACCGGCTCACTCCCAGTGACTGCTTGTCGGTGAGGCCCCTTTGGGGGTGGGGTACCCTCTGCCTCTGGACCTGGGGCTCGGTCCACTCTGGCACAGGGGGCTGCTGGCGGAGCTCACAGGCACGTCATTGCAAACCCCTCTGGCTTCTGTTATTCGGCTGCTGGGTGACCCCTCATCTCAGGCTCTCCTCAACTCTTTCCGAAAGAGTCGCACGGTTCCTCTTCCCCGCTGTTTTTCTTCTACTCCCTGTCTTTCTTGCTCCCTTTCCTTCCCCCTAGTCATGTCTGTCCCATATGTAACAAGTGAAAAAAATAAAATAAAATACACAATAATAATAACAAAAAGAAAAAATGTTGACTCTCAGCATTACTGTTCACGAGAAAATACAGTAATGTGATAAAAACAAGCACCTAAACTCCAACAGTAACTGAACAGCGTTCCTAGAATATGACTGAAATTTCAACAACAGCTTCTAAATGGACCTTGGATTCTTATTCTATTTGTGGAAGATCAGTAGCAAAAGTGACCACGTGGTGGAGTAGTTTGATTTAGTAGTAGCTTTTGTTTTGTTGTTATTTTTGTAACTCTAAGATTAAAGAGATCTTGTGTTCCTCTGTAGGTTTCATATACGTTTTTCTTATTAGGTAATAGATTATTTGCAACTTTTTTCAATAGAAATCAAGAAAACAATAGAAAAGAAATAACAGAAAAATAAATACTAACTATATTATCTAGTTTTATTGAGTGATTGTAATAATCCTGCTTTTACAGCTGACTTCAGGCTGACTTTCAGTATTTCCCACAGACAGCATAAAGATATATCATCTATATGTTCTATAGTCTCTAGTATTTCCACACGCAGTCCCGCCTTCGTGGGATTCCATCTGTGACGTCCCACATGGTAAACGTTTTCCCCCCTCTTCAGCTACGTGGTGTTGCAACTATTTACACAAGCGACGCTGAAGCCACTCTGCTGGGTGATGTTGGATATTGTGGCAGCTGAATTGTGCGTTTTGGCACAATCCCGTCATATTTAAAACGCTTGCGGACCTGTGCTGTGGGACGAAAAGAAGCAGTTTAAGTTCTCGGGACCGGTCATGGCAAAGAAATCAGAAAAACCCGATTGGGTGGTTTTGTTTTCTACGACTATAGCAATACTTGTGTGGATTCCCGTCAGCGGTAAGTTGTTAATTTTCTTTCAAAGACTGTGTTTTGCTGCACTGACATCATTCTCATAAAGTTCAGAGCTCGGTCCGGGTCTCCTGTCCACTACTTTGCAGAGAGAGAAGTATGACGGACCGCAGCTGGGACAGATTTAAATATCTGGTTAAATAGTTTTGTATCAGTCGCTGGAAAACCGAGAAGGTTTCTTTGGATTTCTTTTTGTATCATTTTTCTTTTTAATTAAGTCACAAAATGTGGCATAAACGGAACGGTGGGAGTGAGAGCGCGTCAGGATAGCTATAAATTAAAAATCCCGTGAGTTATAATTCATAGAAAAGCTTCAAAAATGCTGACTGCGTAAATCACCTCGTTTTTCTCCTTGCGTGGCCTAATTTTGCTATGCGTGCTCTTTAAAAGCAAATCCAATGTGTTCTTTTTCCACTCTGTTAAATAATATGCAGTAAATAACCCTTGCCCTGATTAATTGTTACGATAATTTCCACTTTTTTCTCTGAAATTTTATAATGTTTCCCGATGCATGCTCAAACACGTTGCGTTTCAGTGGGAGAGTGCGTTTTCACCTAAGTGACCTCTTCAGTCTCAACTGCCTGCAGGTTTCCCCAACCTTATAAACAGTTCATCTATATAATGACTGAAAATGGTACCACTGACTAACAATGGGTCGTGAGGTCATTGTTAGGCAATGGTACTAGTTTCGGTCTGAAGAAGTCACTGGGATGGGTGAAGAAACGTTTCTCACAGAGAAAACGAAACATCCAGATGTTGTTGGAATGTTTTACATTAATAATCAGCTGTTTGAGAAAACCCCTTCCCACCAAACTTCAAATCTTACTTTACTTACTGTCAGACCTACTCTACATTGTTTTAAAGCTTAGCAGTGTTCCATGAAATATTTTCTTGTAAAATCAATACCATATCTTTATCAAGTATATTTCCCTTTTACCATTTATTCATTCTAACATAAGCTAACATGCCTTTTGTAAACAGCACAACCTTCCAGGACCTCGGAGCCTCTTGTGATACCTCGAGTTGTTTCTCGGATGTATCTGAGTCCAGATGAGCTCAGGAAACTCCGCTTTAAGCCCACCGTAGGCACCATTCAGCTGTCAGAGGGCCATGAAGCCAAACTGAACTGTTCCATTGAAATTCCTGATACCAGACTGGAGCCCGCCATCCTGTGGGTGAAGGATAGTAAGGAGCTGTCGCCAAACATCCATGTGGTGATGAATGAGCTCCACTCCATCACAGATGGGGTATCAACTCTCCTCTCCACTGTCATGTATGTATCACATGAAGGAGAAATGTGTGTGATATGACAGGTTAGGTACATAAACTGAAGTGTCCTTATGCATTACATATTACAGCATTAAACATGTGCAGAGAGTGGATGCTGGAGATTATCGATGCCGACTGAGTATCAGCAACATGTTGGTAGAGTCTGATCCGATCAGCATTCGGGTAGAAGGTGAGTTTTAGTATCCAGAGTATTCAAAACTTCTTTGTCCACACGTTTCGCAGTTCTTTCACACTTCTTTAATCTGACTTAGGTCTGCCAACATTTGTCAAGCAACCAGAGGACAAGAACGTAACAAAATACACACCTTTCACCCTGTCCTGTGAAGCGGTGGGACCACCAGGCCCTGTTCATATCCGCTGGTTCCGTGATGGATCACCTTATACTGAGGTTTTCAGCTCTCCCAGCAACTTCTCTGTACCAGGTGAGTGTTGCCACCCAAAATAATCTTTATCTCTGTATCACAACCTCATACATAAAGACTTTGTTTCACAAGGATTTATCTATTAGCACTTCCTTCTCTTTGCCTGTTCCTCTTGGGGGAACAAAGCTTCCTAAAACAAGTGTTGTTTCTTGCTTTTCTCCTTACTCAATGCAGAATGAACGTACACAAGACATATGACTCTGCATAATCAAGTCTGCAAGACACCTTAAGTGAGACAGAAAGAGGCTGAAGATGCATATTATGGGTTGTCACAGCAATACTTTGTTACCTTCTTTGCCTTTTTTGTAAACTCTTGTTGAGCAAGAGTTCCCTTGACGTCTGCTCCATCTGTGCAAATTTATTGAAACTGCTTTTTGAACAAGCGACCACTCTACCTACTGAGCTATCCCTGCCTTTTGAGGCTAAGAGTGGAAGCATTTACCAGCAAAGATAAAGAGATATTTGGCGCTCAGATGGCTACAAAGTATGGAGTTAGTCTGATTTAGGGTATCGTCACTCCGTTGGTAGATTCTATTCTGACTCATCTATGCTGCCTCAGCATCTGCACCTTGCTTACTGCAGTGAGATTTGTCACCATGTCCTGTGTCACTTGGGCTGTCTGCTGTACTGCTGAATGGTTATCAGCGTTCATTCATGCATGGTTAGTACGCATTTGTAACAATGCTCTGCTGACTGTATCATGAATGCACTGGAGAAAGTGCTAAATGTGAAAAAACAACATTTGCTGTAAGCTTCAGTTAAGCAGTAGCTCAACAATGACAGAAACGTGCTTGTTGCCAGCAAACAGCTGGAGACAGCAGCTGGTTAGGCTAGTTTAGCATTAAGACTGTAAATTTTCCCAAAACACCACATTTTGCAGATTCTTATGACCATTGAAAGTGATCGGAAAAATAAGGGCAGCAAACATTTGCTTGACAGTGTTTCAGTTTTGAACCTTAACCAACAGGCCACGAGACACGCTGCATTTTGGTTTCTCTATGAACAAACAAACAGTTTAGAGTTAGGTTCTTAATTTGTTGAACAAATTTTTAGTTTTTCGTCTGTACACCACTACACTGTCATTATGTCATTATCAAACAATCAAACAATTGCAGACATCCAGTTTTAATTCTACTGCTTTTACAAAAAAATTGCATTAACTGGGTATAAAACCAGTTTTATACCCAGTTAATATATACCCAGTCCATTTACAGAGGTTCAAGGCTTGTGGGTCTGTTTTATTATTTAAATTTGTATTTAATAAGAGCAATCATGCTCTATAGTGTTGAGGTCAGGTGACTGACCTGCACATTGAAGAATATCCCATTTCTTTTGCTTGAGAAACTCTTGGATTGCCTTTATTGTGCTTTGGGCCTTCACTCCATTTGTAGTGTGATGAGCTCTCTGATCAGTTTTGCAGCAATTGAAAGAATCTGAGCCGAGACCATAATCCTTTAAACTTCACAGTTAATCCCACTACTGTCAGCAGTCACATCATCAGTAAACACTAGTGATCAGTCTACTCAGTGACTGTAGAAAACATTGATGACCCAACAGCTCCCTAAAACTGAAGCCCAATTACCGGTTCCTGGTTATCTCCACCGTCCTGGATAGATATTATAGAATACTTTGGACCATCTAAGGAGATTCGAAAGAAAAGTATCTGGATTACTTTAAGTTTCCTTGAAGACGTTTCACTTCTCATCTGAGAAGCTTCTTCAGTTCTAAGAGCAACTAGTGGGGAGTCTCAGATTTTAAGCCCTTAAAGTGCTTGTAAATCAGCTGTTTCTTTCCTTCTTCATACTTTTACTTTATGTCTTTCTGGTATAAGTTAACCTTGGTTTCATCTGTACAAAACTTTTTGTAGAGCTGTTCAGATTCTTTTAGATGTTTTCTAGCAAAGTGTCATTTGGCCTTCTTGTTTTTGAGTGTGACCAGTAGTTCGTTGCTCATTGTAAACCATCTGTATTTACATTTTTGAAGTCGTCTGTTGGCCGTAGATCATGATATTGTTACGTCTACCTCCTTGATAGTGTTCTTGACTTGATTAGATGTAGTTTTGAAGCTGTTTTTCATCACCATGGAAATAATTCTGTGATCACGCACTTTAGTTCTCTGTGGTCTTTCAGGGCTTTCATTGGTCCTGAACTGGTCAGTTTACTACTTCTTTTTAAGAATTGTGCTGTCTCTCTAATAGCTTCATTTTGTTTCATCAACCTAATGATGCCCCCCCTCACCGGTATGGACATTTCTTTGGTCTTGTATTTAAAATTACCAGGAAAAGCTATTAAAAAAAAAACCCCCACAACAATACATCAAATCAACTCCAGATATTATGTTTGCTTCATTTGTCATGAAATGAAAGGCCTACCCTGACCATGAAAGTTCTTATCATTCAACTGATAGTAAATTTTTAGTCCCTGAAAATGGGAGACTGTGTATAAAACACCCAGTACGAAATGTTCCCTAAAGTTTTCATGTTCATATCACTTTATGTGTTAGATCAGGACAGAACTGAAAGACATTAGTTTAAGTTTTAAAACAGAAATAACCAGAGAATTCAGGCATTTTGTCTTAAAAATCATTATAATATTTGTTAGGAACAAAGTCTTGACTGACTAACTGATTATTTAGCTGTACATTAATGTTAACATCAATGTCAGCTTATTCTTTCTCATGTTTCTCAATTAAGCAACAATGACAATTGTTGCTTAATTGTGGTAAATTATTGCTACTTGTATTTAAAGGAAGGTATTTGAAGATCAAGGCTTGTTGTAAAATGAGTTTTAGTCCCATGTTGTACAGAAATTGTATAACATTTTATAAGTAGACTCTCACTTTATCACCTCAAGTTTATGACGCCCTCTTTCTTCCCTAAAAGACTATATTTGTTATTAGAAGTACAACATTTGCTCTTTATGCCCTGATCCTTCATTTTGACTTTGCCACAGGCTAAACACCCCTGCAGTAGCCAATGCGTAGTGATACAGCCAAAGCTGAGAGGGTTAAAGGTTCAGAGTTGTGCTTTGGTCCAGCATGTGCAATCGCCCGGGCAGTAAAGGGAAGGAGGAGGGGGAGCTGCATAGGGAGCCTGTTCGGGGGTTGGCTCCGGGGACAAAGACCTCATTCACAGGACGGCTCACTACCCAGTAGGGAGGGGCTAGACACAGAGGGCTGCAGGCTACCAGGTCCCTGTGCAGGACCAAACATTGCTACAATAGAACCACGTAAACCCAGATCTCTGTGTAGTCATCTCATGCATACTATGAGTCTTGGTTTGCTAAATTTGGGACTCCAGGGTATCATCACAGTGCTTTTTGTTGCTTAATTGTGGTAAACTATTGCTACTTGTATTTAAAGAAAGGATATTCCTAAACAGTAGTACAGGCTAACGAGGAATTAAGTTGAGATTGGAAAGCATTTTATGCTTCAATATTTAATCTGGCTCAGCAGCAAGAAGCTGCATAAGATTCAGTCTCTGGTGTTAAGGAAGAAGCAACAAGTTTATCACTTCAGCTTGAAAGAAACTGAGGGAGTAAATCTGGCACACAAAGCAATAATGAGTGAAATGCTTGGATTAGCTGCAGTCTGGCAGAGTGGCTTTTGGCTATATTTACTCCCTGAGAAGAAATTGGAAAAATAACATACATCTCATACAGCTCAGTAACCTGGAGCAACTCCAAACCGGATAAATAGAGGTTGGGAGAACCACACTGCAGGACTTGCATGATGCATTTTGGTTTCTCCATCCCACTCGCAACTTTACATTTCCTCTTGAATTTAATTTTCCTATTGTGTTGCTGATTTTCACTTTGATTTATTTCCAAGTAGAATAAAAGCAGAAACGATAATTCTCCACCTTTTAATCAATTCCCCTTTCCAGCAAATACACACCTATTGTGTACATTCAGTTTGCACTGTTATTTATGAAATGCCCTTGCTGTGTAACCCAATACTTTTTTTCATATGTTTGGTTAACATGAAACCTCTGGGAAGTCTCCTGATTGCTCATATGGTTAGTATAGACAGCAAGCACGTGTTGTTTTGAACCTGCTTACTTCCTACTATGCTGCTACTGTCTGTATGCCATGCAGTTTGCAGTGCACTATGTCAAAATTAGATTTGCGCATTTTCACTCACGTGTAACTTGATTATTTAATTTAATCTAAGTACAGCTCTCTGTCTTTTTGCAAACAAATCTACTGTAGCCTGTGTTTAGGTGATAAGTGAAGCACACTTAACCCTGGTTCTCCTGAGCATAGAAAGGCAACCTCTCACATCAGTTCCAGTTATCTCTCACAAGCTGGACTGTGAATTGCTTTGTGGAAAAGTTTCTGAGATGGAAGCAGAGCACAAAAGGCTCATTATCGCTCAATGTCCCCGTCCTTTTCTAACTGGGCAGATCTGTTGCTGTTGAAAGACAGAAATTGTGTGCTGAGGAAAACAGACCCATCGAAAAGGATTGTTACTACAGTCCATCATACTGGAGAGGCTCAGTTTGATCTTTTATTGTAAGAGGCACTTCTTTGTGAAATTTGGAATTATGATAAAGGAGTGAATCATTCTTAAATGAGACTTTTTTTTCCCTATGATGTTTCAGCCGGGCCTCACTCTCACTTCTTCATTCAGAATGACATTCCAGTTTTGCCCCAGATTCATCTTTGACACATAAAGAAATCAGTTTGAGAGTGGTGACAATGTGTGTTGCTGGTTTGTGCTCTGCCTTTGTATTATAGATTAATAACAGCAGGGCTGAGTCAGTGCTGTCATTACCTTGAAGACTGGTTGTTTTTGTTTCACGCTGCACTCAAGTGCTACATGAGTCACTCAAAAATCTCAACTGCAGGTGTGGATAAATACACTCGGTTCAGCTGTGAAGCTAACAACACAAAGGGCATCACCACATCCAGAGAAGCACACGTCAATGTTAAAGGTAAAACTGGCAGCTTCCAGGTCTAATAATATTCCAGATGATTTTCCTGCTTTAGAAGATGGTAGCTGATGCTGGTTTTTGTGGTATTTTCTAGTTCGTGCCAGACCTCCCACTCATGTTACTGTGACAGAGAGGCAGTCCAATAAGCTGACGTTGAGCTGGACTCCTGGGCACGATGGCTTCTCTCCACTCACCACGTGCCGAATCAGAGTAAGCCCCATGTTTAATCCAAACTGTGCCATTGTTTAACAGCGTCATACTGATCACATGCTCTCCGATCTAAGGTTAGAGAGGTCAGTCGGAGGGAAGGGGAAGTGACGACCACCAGGTTCATCAACGTCACAGTGCCGCCTTTTCACAGTGAAGTCCCTGGACTGCAGGCTATGACAAAGTACAACCTGAGTGTTTCCTGCAGTAACGAACAGGGCGCCTCTCCAAACAGCAAGTGGGTCGAGAGCAACACCACAGAAGGAGGTGTGTTGATGCTACAGGAACAATTTGAAGGTTGAATTATAATGCACACCAAGAAAACTTTAACAATGCAAAGTATTCCTAAATGAAATTAAACTCATCCCAGCATTTAAAACCCAGCATATAAAAATGCTCAGTCTGTGTTTGTCTTACAAACGATGATGATATTTACAATACAGGACCTGTGTGTTGTGCTCCTGCCTCCTTCCCATCATTCTTGTTTAGCTTTCAGGAGCACTGTGTAATTAACTGACTACTTTACTATCCAAAATGTGCTTAATGTAAGCTTGCTCACAGTTGCAGTGCAATAATAACTGGAATTTTCTGCACTTGCACAACTACCTGATCTGCCGACAGCAAGCCCTGTTCAGAAAAAAAGTTTTATCCACTAAAAACCTCTGTTGTTTTCCTGAAGAGTAACATAGGAAATAGGGGTGGTTTCACTGAGAAAACACAAAGTTCTTACTGGGTGGAGCTGCTTTCAACTTCCTTCCTAAATCCACCAGAGGGGATATTTTAGTTGAATGATTTGATATGCTGTGACCAGAAGTGACCGCATACCAAACCGTAATCAAAGATTTTTTTTGAAGAGTAGTCCAACTAATTTTTCTTTCACTTTATAGGTTTGCAATGACTATGAATGATGTCATAATCCCATTTTCCATTTCTCGTTGCGTTCTTAGTGCCATCAATTCATCCCGGAAATGTCACAGTGCAGCTTGAAGGCTCGAGCTTGGTGATCGAGTGGAAACCTCCGCCCAGCGATAAGATAAACGGGATCCTAAGTGGTTATGATGTCATTGTTAGATATGGCACACGCCAGAAAAAGGTGAGCTTATCTGCGATATAGTAATTAAATATAGTCTTTTATTTTTTATTGTTTTACAACTGACAATTCTCGTTTCTTTTATTCTTCTTCTAACTGTTATTATTATTTTAAGAAAAAGAAAAGAAATGTACGCATTCAACTTTAAACTTGCTCTTTCAGAACACCTGTACCTAAAGTGGTAACTCAAGAAAAGTTTAAACCTTTAAACCTTGAATTTGTGGCTTTTTAAAAAAAAATGTAAAAAAAAAATTGAATGAGAAGAATGATGTAGAAGCCTCAAAAACTCACAAAAATCACATGTTAAAAATGATATATTTAGCTTTAAAGGATTAAAGATGTGCTTACGTGAATGAAGAAAAGGCTGTTGTATTTCGTACATTCCTAAAAATTAAGCTTTCTACCACTTTCTGTTTCCCAACCATTCACATTAAATACAACCAAAGGATTCTTCCGAAACGCATGTCATTCAGGCTTAAGGTTAACTGTAAACTGTATCAAAAACAGGTGAAAACTACGAGTGATGAAAATCTTACAAGGGATCCATCATGTGTTTCCTTATTTTATTTTATTTGTCCTTTTACAGCGCTTCAAAAATTATTAGACCACCACCCAGTGTAAGGTTTATGCCACAGCTACTCTAAATTAACAATATTGGTTAATTTAATAATATAGGTTTTTGAGATGTTTCTAAAATATTTACATTTTACTATTTTATGACAGGTGTTCTAAAGAATTTGTTAAGCACTCTATGGACTGTTACAGTTTCAGTGTTGAATATATTCATACTAGACAGTTTCAAATAGTTTCAAAGTGTGCATTTGAGTAGACTTCTCTAGTTCATGCTCAGTTTCTGATATGTTTTTCTACTCCTGGCTTTCAGCGAGTTCAGAGAGAGGGCATGTCTTTAACAATTCCAGCATAAGAATTTTTATATAATAAACAACATAGAATAAAAATTCTAATAAGAAAGAAATAGACACACAAACACAAAATAAGTATCCAAGAGAAAGTCCAAGTAATAAATGTGCAAACAATGAAATGAGTTAAAGAGATCAAAGAGTTAAAGAGAAGAGATTGTATTTATGCTTGTGCAGTGTTTATTGTTTTATTCAGGAGTCTAATGATGTAGAAGCTGTTTGAGCCTTTTCTCCTCGTACAATACAAATATGAAATATTATGAAGAATTGCTTATGTAAGGTTCATATTGAAAACATAAGGTGTTATCTCTGATGCTCCTATTTAACCCTAGAACACTATCGCTATAAATAGTAACACGATCACTAATGCCGGGTGATTTATACCCGGTATAATATAACCAATGAACAGTAATCAAATATATCAAAATATGACAACACATGACAAATTAGAGTGGTCTTCTTTTACTTTCAACTGTGCCATGTCTAACAAAATGAAAAATAAAACTCCTAAAACAAAATAATGACTCTGGAAAGCTGGTCTTTGGTCCACCCATTCCTGGGACATTTGAGACTTCCCTGGTGATGGCACAGGCTCCTCGACACGCAAACAGCTGCAGGAGAGAGAAATCATGTAAATGTATTTTCTCGGGTGTAAATCACCCGGCGATAGTGTTCTAGGGTTAAGAGGGTGGTTTTTTTTTTATATAACAATGACTAATGTATGAAAATATGAAAAGAATGAGTGCTGCATACTGGGAATAGCTGACCCTCCCTTTGTCTTCTCTACTGAACCACAGGTCAGCTCCACAGTTATTTGCGAACAACAGTTTATTCATTTGCCACAAGGCATCATCGAGGCCGGGAAAGGGATTCGAAGGAAACTAGTTTCTTTAAATCAGCTTTAATAGCTCATAATGCTGTTTGCATGTAGTCACACTTCTCTTCCTGTATTAGTGCGCTCACCTACAATAGAGTGACTCCGTCCTTCCCGTCTGTGTTGTAGTTAAAGGAAGCTGAGGGTGTAAAAACTGGCCATTGGTAGTTTTCTCCATTTGGCATGTGCCCGTGAGTCATCACAAAGTAACTATGGTATGAAAACAATAGGACGTGAATGTGAGTTCCAGATATTCCTATGTATTGTTCATTCAGTTGATTATGTCATTACTGTAACTTTGACTGGAAATACATACAAACACAGTACAGCCAATCCGCTGTCAGGATAGACAAAGTCAGGGTAAATAGTTAAAATATGTCAATCAGTTTTAAATCAGAGGAATAAATAGATGCTCGTAATTGTGAATTTTTTGGCATTAGAAATCAATGGTGCCAATTATTTCTCTTGAATCTGAGATTAACATTTTCTGTTTATTTCTGAAGGAATATTTAACCTCACGTTGCCCTTTTTTGTTGTCACAGACATGAGAGGTGTTAATCATGGGTTTAGAACTGCCTGTCAGCACAAAACAGCGCAGACTGAGATGTACCGTTTAGCGTATGGTGTTGTGAAATACAGGGTTAAGTCTGTCACATGCTCCCTCCCATTGAGCACATGAGCCTATCCTGAAAGTTTATGTCCTTCCCTTTTTTTTTAAATGGGGACTTTTATTATATACAGTAATCACTACTACACGGTTCCCTTTGGATTTCCCAAAAGGGGAGCAGCTCTGTGAAATCAGCATGCATGCGCTTTGGGATGGGTTTTTTTAATCAATTAATTTTTTCATTTAATGGAAATGAGGAAAAAAAGGAGAGAAAATGAGAGCATGCATAAAAAGTTGCTGAGCTGGATTTTGTGCTGTTGCACAAATGCACAAGACGTTCCTCAGCGTATTCTTGCACCAGCAAGCTTTTATTTTCCTTAAAATCTGCTTCTTCTTTTAGTTCAACTTAACCTAATGTAACTTTCAAACTCTTGTGAACTATAGCCTTCTGTTTGAACTTTTCTCTCCAAGGTGATAATGATTAACCTTACCATAGCATGTTTTTCTTTTTGTTCAGTCAGCTATGACAGTAGACGCAATTCACTTTATGTCTTTTATTGTATGTTATTTCAGGTCCATAGTCTTACCACTTGGACACGTGTGGCTGTGGAGGAATTCAACAAAACCTACAGTGTGGAGGTGGCCGCATGCACGCAGGCAGGAAGAGGCATGGTCAGCCCACGAGTTGAATTGTTTGTGCCAGAGGACAGTAAGTGGCTCGTTCTGTTTATTTCCTCATCTTGAGCTGATAATTTGATAAATTGCACAGCATTGTTCAGCTGATGTTGTACTACTGTACTAAAATACCATTATTGCCTTATGAATAGATACCAGTGCCTATTATGGTTGCAGTATTTTTGGAAACACTAGCAGGAAAGCTCACAGGACTGAAATACTGCCTATTTTTCAGCTACTTTCATCTAAGATTAAAATCTTTTAAACTCTTGGATGAATCACCATGAAATACAGTACACACACTTTTGGTCCCTATAGAGAGTGAAATAACTTTGGCTTCCTGGTCTTTCATGTGGAGCTGTTAATTCAGAGTTTCATCTCATCAAAATGTTGACCAAAATCCTCCAAAAGTACTGACTTTACTATCGGGTGCAGGTGTACTTTGGGATCAGTGCTAAATATAAATTGTGAACATGTCAAAAATCAAGACTCTGGTGTTTCAGTTTTAAGCATGCTAACGAGCTGCTAGCTTTCATCTCAATGCAACACTGACTGAATATATTAAAGTTTCAAAAAAGGGGGAAACATTTGAATAAGAACTTCTGTTGAAAACTATCATCACAGAATAAAAAATGTTGGATGTGTTGCGTGAGCTGACGAACTCTTCTTCAGATAACTGATCCTTAACTTAAATTGCTGGATGTCAGATTTCTAAGTGTTCTCCTTTGTTTCTTCTTCTTATCTCAGAATCCACCGTACGCCCTTCATCCGGCCCTGAGACAGCGGTAGCACACACCAACCATGTTGTGGGGATCGTGATTTGTACCGTCTTTGTCCTGCTGATCATCCTCTCTGGGGTTCTCTATTTTCGGAACAAGGCTTATGACTCCTGTTTTGGGTAGGCTTAACAATTAACAAGTAATTATCCTAGTATGATAACCTGATCTTTGAACTTGCTGCTGGTTAGTGTGTTCATGAGACAACTGTATTTACTTTGATTTTAATCAGCTAACTGTAAACTGCTCCTTTGCGATATATGTTTTCTTCAGTAGTAGTAACTTCCGGATTCACTTTGTAAACTTCCTTATCTCCCTCTTAGTCATTGGAGTCTGCACAGTAGGTCATGTAATAACTGTGCAGCTGGAGAGATGGACAACAAACAGCTGTCAATTCTCTGGAATTCTTCATTATGAAGTCCATGACTCACTGTTTCCACTCAGGATATGGATAGGAATGTTTCACAGGCAGCTTTTCAGAGAGAAAAACATTATTCCAACCTCAAAGTCTGGAAGGCAACAGAGAGGGTTTCCTCTCTATGACCTTTTCTTTAGTTGAATTTTTAAGCCTGTATGTTATTTCTGACCTCTTACAGCATCAGACAGAGGATTACCAACATTTCCTGCTTTTTCTTTCCCCTGTCTCCCCCTGCAGGCAGCGGTGCAGAGATGAAGAAATGCTGCCGCCTGTCATACAGTACACGCAACAGAGGTCCTACAACCGATCAGCCATAGGAGTCACTCGTATGTTCTTGAATGCTACTACAGGAAGATTAACACGCATATAACATGTATGTGTTATCAAAAAAATGATGTTCTTGTCTTTGGTCTGCAGTTGAGAACCTTGGGATCAGTGAGGAACTGCAGGCCAAACTTCAGGATGTGATGGTAATGAGAACTCTGCTCTCAGTGGGGAAGGTTCTTGGAGAGGGTGAGTAATTAGTTTCATGTATCTAAATTTGTAGGCATCCATATCTACAGTGACATGTTTACAAACGATTACAGTAAAATGCAGTATATGTGCACAGGTTTACGACTGGTCTTAATTTTTACCAGGTGAGTTTGGTTCAGTGGTGGAAGGTCATTTCACACAACCAGATGGCACTTCAGAAAAGGTTGCCGTGAAGACAATGAAATGTAAGTGCTTGTGTTATGTAAAGATTAACTTAACATTAAAAAATATGTCTTAACTAACAAATATGTAAAAAAAAATTATACCACACAGTGGATAGTTTTTCTCAAAGGGAGATTGAAGAGTTCCTGAATGAGGCCGCTTGCATGAAAGATTTCAACCATCCTAATGTCATCAAACTGCTCGGTAGGAGATCTCTTATCTTACTGCACGTTCTCTTTGCTTCTTTCTTTAGTCGCTTTCTTTTGTATATCCATGCATTTATTTTTGATTGTGCTGACTTATCCTCTTGTCTTTAGGTGTATGCTTGGAAGTAGGCTCAGCACACTTTCCTAAACCCATGGTAATTCTGCCGTTTATGAAACACGGAGATCTGCATAGCTTCCTGCTGCGTTCACGCCATAGAGAGACTCCAATGGTAAGATTTTACCCAAACACTAACTTTCAAATTCAATATCATATTTATTAGAGTGTGACAGAGTGGTGTAGTGGTTGACACTGTCACCTTATCGTAAGAAAGATAGATGTTAAATGTCATGGTCGGCTGGACTTCTCTCTGTGGATTTTGCATGTTTTCCTGGTGCCCGTATGCGTTTATGTAAGAGTGTGTGAATGTCAGTCTTTTTGTGTTAGACCTGTGATGGACTGTTACCTGGACAAATACACCCCATGTGAGCTTGAATACACTCCAGATCCCGACCCTGAAACGAATAGATTATGATTAGACTAAACAATATTTAAACTGTCGGCTGTGGTGTGTTCTTGCACAGTTCTTGCCCACTCAGACACTCCTGAAGTTCATGGTTGACATTGCTTCGGGTATGGAGTATCTCAGTGGTCGTAACTTTCTGCATCGAGACCTGGCGGCACGCAACTGCATGTAGGTTCCTTCCTCTGATTTATGTTCAAAGTAGAGCAGGCATTGATTGAACTTTTCCTGGCAACATTCGCAGTCTTCTTAAATAAAAGAACTATGATTTATTATTTCAGAGGTTTTTCAAATTTGCTTTTTTTCCATTAGTCATGAAGTCCACGCCTTGTTTGTCTTACAGGCTGCGTGACGACATGACAGTGTGTGTAGCAGACTTTGGACTATCTAAGAAGATCTACAGTGGTGATTATTACAGGCAGGGAAGAATTGCGAAAATGCCTGTAAAATGGATCGCATTAGAGAGTCTGGCAGACAGAGTTTTTACTGTAAAGAGTGATGTGGTGAGTAGAAACATAGCTTTACCAGTAACACACCTGTTTATGAAATCCAGTCACTAAAAGAACTGACTACTTTTCTGCACTCTTTGTTTTTCTTGCTGCTTTCTCTTGTGCTACAAGTGGCACTTTAAAAGGTTTGGTCTTAGACTTACACAGGGCACTGTCTCAATATTTATCAGTGTGTTCAACTTGTACGATTTTCCCCCTCTTTTGCACTTTTATCTTAAGTGTCAGATAAAGATAAAAAAAATAAACTTTTTTGTTTGAAAAATGCAGAATATCGTACAGCTAAACCTGGGATAATACATGGTATTTCTATGTATTATCAGCAGGAAAATACCAGTTTGTGATGAAATATAATCTCAAGTTGAAATTCTGTTCTCACGCAGTGGGCGTTTGGTGTCACCATGTGGGAAATTGCTACAAGAGGCATGACGCCGTACCCTGGAGTCCAAAACCATGAAATTTATGATTATCTAGTTGAAGGACACAGACTGAAGCAGCCCCCAGACTGTTTGGATGAACTGTGAGTGTCGTTCTTCACACAGATGTTGACTTTGGGTTTGATTGCTTTGAAAGTAACAATATTGACGCTATAAAAGTTTAATTTAATATTGTTGGTCTAAATTTTATATTGGAGGCTAGCTTTTTTAAAAACATATTAACACAACAGTAAACCTCAAAAATAAATTGCTAAATTTTACAACCTTGAAAATATGCGCATTGAAATGTACCAAAATCGAGGTTCCAGTCTAATTATTTCTCAATACTTGGGGTCTAGGTATGAAATCATGTACAGCTGCTGGAGAGCCGATCCGCTAGACCGACCCTTCTTTCCCCAGCTGCGAGAAATGTTGGAAAAGCTCGCCGAAAAGCTTCCAGAGTCTTCCAGCAGGGATGATATCATTTATATCAACACCAGCTTTCCTGAGGAGGACCCCGATCGAGAGGCATTTCAAGCAGAGCCTCCTGTGTTGAGCTCCTCACCTTGCTGCAGCCGCATGGCAGCAGAAAATACAGTAGTTACCGCGGACATTCACGGGAGCGTGGCGGATGACCAGGATGATGGCAGCGATCGCTATGTGGTGGTGATTTCCTCCAGTGCGCCCCCGAGAGCTGCAACAGTGGATACGCCTCTCTTGTCAGATGATTCTTTAAGTCAAGCAAATGGGACCACTGCAACAGCGATGGATCACAGCTTATATGACCCCGCCTTCATGCTATAGCATTTGGTACTGAGCAGTTACAGCCCTCGCATGGGTTGACAGTACTAATAATTTTGTCTTGTTGTACTGGAAGCACCTGCACATTTCCTGCTATGGACTTTCATAGATTGTTGGAGAGGCATTTTATGCTTTAAATGGCCAGCCTACATGTCAGTGTTTGTTTTTGCTTATACTTTTTTTTTTTTTGCGTGTCAACCTCAAACACACTCATGCACATGTTCGATAAGCTTATGATACTCTGAAATGTGAAAAGTATTTACTGTATTGACTTCTGTGTTGCAGTGTAAATAGAACATTGTACAGAACATTTATAAAAGGATCTTTTTCTTTTAAAATAAAGGATTTATTGACTTCTTTAAAGTAAACATAGATAAGTGTGACATAAAATGAGCAGAATTCCCTCACAGATCCCTGTGATAATTATTGTTATTGGTATTCCAGTAAGAAGGGAACTGTTTTACCATAATGATGACATAAAAGCCTTCAACTTTCAGCTCTGAAGCCCTTCTTGATTGCAGGATGACAGATTAGGTCAGGCCTAGAGTATAACTATAACAGACCACATTGTGATCTGTAGTGAGAGTAGAGAGAGGTGGAGGTATGCACTGTAAAGAAGAAGAATGTAGGTCAGTAACAGCAAGACAGAATATGCATGTGAATAGAAGGGGAGCGGGTGGAATGCAAGGAGTCGTTTAAATTCCTGGGGTCAAATGCCAGTAGGGTGGAGTGGGCAGAGATGAGTATCAGGGTTGATTGGTGAGATAAGGAAAGCAACAACAGTGAAAGCGAAGGTTTACAAGATGGTAGTGAGACCTGCTAAGATGTATGGTTTGGAAATGGTGGCACTAATGAAAGACAGGAGGCAGGAACTGCAGATGTTAAGATTTTTGTTGGGAGTGACCAGAATGGACAGGATTAGAAATGAGCACGGCAGAGGAACAGCTCCGGTTTGGAGACAATGTAAAAGTGGTAACCTTTAGATACTTTGGACATGTGCAGAGGAGGGATAGTGGATATACTGGCAAAGGACAATTCAATTCAATTCAATTTTATTTATATAGCGCCAAATCACAACAAAAGGCGCTTCATAGATACAGAGAAAAACCCAACAATCATATGACCCCTTATGAGCAAGCACTTTGGCGACAGTGGGAAGGAAAAACTCCCTTTTAACAGGAAGAAACCTCCAGCAGAACCAGGCTCAGGGAGGGGCGGCCATCTGCTGCGACCGGTTGGGGTGAGAGAAGGAAGACAGGATAAAGACATGCTGTGGAAGAGAGACAGAGGTTAATAACAGATATGATTCAATGCAGAGAGGTCTGTTAATACATAGTGAGTGAGAAAGGTGACTGGAAAGGAAAAACTCAATGCATCATGGGAATCCCCCGGCAGCCTACGTCTATTGCAGCATAACTAAGGGAGGATTCAGGGTCACCTGGTCCAGCCCTAACTATATGCTTTAGCAAAAAGGAAAGTTTTAAGCCTAATCTTAAAAGTAGAGATAGTGTCTGTCTCCCGAATCCAAACTGGAAGCTGGTTCCACAGAAGAGGGGCCTGAAAACTGAAGGCTCTCCCTCCCATTCTACTTTTAAATACTCTAGGAACAACAAGTAGGCCTGCAGAGCGAGAGCGAAGTGCTCTAATAGGGTGATATGGTACTACAAGGTCATTAAGATAAGATGGGGCCTGATTATTTAAGACCTTGTATGTGAGGAGCAGGATTTTGAATTCAATTCTGGATTTAACAGGAAGCCAATGAAGGGAAGCCAAAACAGGAGAAATATGCTCTCTCTTTCTAGTCCCTGTCAGGACTCTTGCTGCAGCATTTTGGATTAGCTGAAGGCTTTTCAGTGAGTTTTTTGGACATCCTGATAATAATGAATTACAGTAGTCCAGCCTGGAAGTAATAAATGCATGAACTAGTTTTTCAGCGTCACTCTGAGACAGGATATTTCTAATTTTAGAGATGTTGCACAAATGGAAGAAAGCAGTCTTACATATTTGTTTAATATGTGCGTTGAAGGACATGTCCTGGTCAAAAATGACTCCAAGGTTCCTCACAGCGTTACTGGAGGCCAAGGTAATGCCATCCAGAGTAAGAATCTGGTTAGATACCATATTTCTAAGATTTTCAGGGCCGAGTACAATAACCTCAGTTTTATCTGAATTAAGAAGCAGAAAGTTAGCGGCCATCCAGGTCTTTATGTCTTTAAGACATTCCTGCAGTTTAACTAATTGGTGTGTGTTATCTGGCTTCATGGACAGATAGAGCTGGGTGTCATCTGCATAGCAGTGAAAATGTATGCTATGTCTTCTAATGATGCTGCCTAAGGGAAGCATGTATAATGTAAACAGAATTGGTCCTAGCACTGAACCCTGTGGAACTCCATAATTAACCTCAGTGTGTGAAGAGGACTCTCCATTTACATGCACAAATTGGAGTCTATTAGATAGATATGATACAAACCACTGCAGTGCAGTACCTGTAATACCTACAGCATGTTCTAATCGCTCTAATAGGATATTATGGTCGACAGTATCGAATGCTGCACTAAGGTCTAGCAGGACAAGCACAGAGATGAGTCCACTGTCAGAGGCCATAAGAAGATCATTTGTAACCTTCACTAAAGCTGTTTCTGTGCTGTGATGAGCTCTGAAACCTGACTGAAACTCTTCAAATAAACCATTCCTCTGCAGATGATCTGTTAGCTGTTTGACAACTACTCTTTCAAGGATTTTTGATATGAAAGGAAGGTTGGAGATTGGCCTATAATTAGCTAAGACTGCTGGGTCTAGAGATGCTTTTTGAGTAAAGGTTTAACTACAGCCAGCTTGAAGGCCTGTGGTACATAGCCGATCATTAGAGATAGGTTGATCATATTTAAGATCGAAGAATTAATTAATGGCAGGACTTCTTTGAGCAGTTTTGTAGGAATGGGGTCTAAAAGACACGTTGATGGTTTGGAGGAAGTAATTATTGAAGTTAACTCAGAAAGATCAATTGGAGAAAAAGAGTCTAACTTAACATCAATGGTACTAAGAGTAGCTGTAGATAATATTACATCTGTGGGATGATTATTGGTAATTTTTTCTCTAATGATAAAAATTTTATTTGTGAAGAAGTTCATGAAGTCATTACTAGTTAACGTTAAAGGGATGGTTGGCTCAAAAGAGCTCTGACTGTTTGTCAGCCTGGCTACAGTGCTGAAGAGAAACCTGGGGTTGTTCTTATTTTCTTCAATCAGTGATGAATAGTAAGATGTTCTGGCTTTGCGGAGGGCTTTCTTATAAAGCAGCAAACTATTTCTCCAGGCTAAATGATGATCCTCTAAATTTGTGACAGAGGTTTGTATTTGTGTGACAGAAGAAGATGCAAGGAATAGGTTGAGATGGAAGCAGATGATCGTCTAAAGGGAGCCAGAAGACATCGAATAAGATTTGGACAACAACGAGAACATTTGAAGTATAAAAACGCAAGAAAAAGATTTGTGTACTCGAATTTTTATACGTTAGCTGAACAGAAGAAAGCCTGGTGCTGCATCACTGTGGTCAAAGCAGCCGCCCCTAAACCAGTAGTGCAGTATCCAAACTAAAGGGCATGATATCTGTAATAGCCTTTTTCACCATTTATGCCAGACCTTCCCAAAGTGTGGGGCGCGGCATGAAAAGGGAAAAAAACAAACAAACAATGCTTGGACACTGCTAGCACGGGCGCCTACACAAACGCAAAGCAGGAGATGAAGCATAGCTGAATATGTTTCCAAATCAACATCATTCTAAGCCAAAGACTAGAAAATATGGCGAAGCATAACTTCCCTTTGGCTTCACCTGCACAAGTGCCAAGGTAGGTCTTCCCTGCAGAATTGGTTTTCCCTTCGCCTGGAGCACCGCTGGGCTGTTTAAATCACGGACAAACAGTATCCCACATTCTTGATTTTTAGTTCACAAACAGTTGTTGTAATGACTAACTACTCCTGATGTTAGCTCTTTGTACAGTAAAGTTACAGTGGGATACAAATAACATCAGGCTGATCCTGCCACGATTTGTTCCCCCTGTCTAAATCATGGACAAACAGTATCCTACAGCTGTTTATGTTTTTAAACCCATTTTGCACAGAGAGGCTTTTTTTTTTTTGACAAATGTATTGATAGCAATGTTGAATATTATTACACAGGAAAAAAAACAACTACATGTTAAATAATTACACCTTGATGCCTCTGCCTTTCTAAATGGAGGGACAGTAACTGCATGTTTATATGCAAGCATGTAAAACCTGAAGATAGAGACAAAATTCTTTTAATCTGACTATCTGCCATTCTGCAATTCCTCTCATGTAAGCAATAACGTGGCGCACAGCTGACGTGAAAAAAGGCAAGTAGCTTTAACATTGCATGACAAACTCTGTATTCCTCGTCCACAGTAAATGCAAAAAAATAGTTTTAAAAAATCTCCGTTTTCGGTGATTCGAAACGCCGTTTACGTGTGGACGAAACAGCTGTGTTTTCAAAAATACCCGTGTAGGTGTGGACGTAGCGTAAAAGAGTTAGTTTATTTTATTACTACCTGCAGATTACTTGTATTTGCTTAATTGTTTACTAAATGTTTGAGGTGTGAAATAAACCGCAATTGAGCAAAATATGGGTGTGTGTGGTTGGAGGATGTGTTAGTGCGTGCGTGTGGGCGCGCGCGCGAGGGGTGGGCGCGAACATTTTTCTGTAAAACAAAGGGGGGCCCAGCGAAAAAGGTTTGGGAACCACTGATTTATGCAATCTGTATGAGTCCTGCTGTACAATGAAGATGATATCCTCAGTACAAATATATACTGAATACAAAAGGCTGTCTCCGTCTACCATGGAAAGGTGATTCCTGTATCACGGACCTGTGACAATATCATTCGAAAACATCACATTATTCTGTGAACAAACAAGACCAACGCACATATGATGTGCACAGCGCTCAAATTATCAAAAAAAAAAAATTAAATATCAAAAACATTTATTCTGGGTGCCAGCAGGATAGCGGTAATGAAGCTGGGACAGCAGGCGACGTACAGGTAACAAACGTCGCAGACCTCTTGGGCCCCTCCCATCCTCTGAGCAGCTGAGTTCACGGCGCAAGTGGCGAAATCTACACGTAACGAATATGGCTGCTGCAGTCGGGATGAGGACGTGGAGCTGTCCGACTAGAGGACTTAACTGTCCGTGGATGGTGTTTTCTGTAATTATACTCAACATTATCAATGGAGCTGTTGCAGCGCCAGAGTCAGGGCTTTGGACAATAACTGTTGTTAATGTGAGTATCTTCCTAA